TAGGAGAGTCCACGCTTCTAATGCTGCTGCTGATCTGATAGAAGGCTGAACTCAGGTGGTAATACCAGTGATGAGGAGTGGCTATAAATACTGATGAAGTTTCACTTGCATGTTCGCTGACCACTCACCTCCTGCTATGCAGCTCAGTTCCTAACAGGTCAAGGACAGGTTTGTGGCCTGGGGTTGGGAATCCCTGGTGTAAAGTGTAGAGTTACAAGGTGAGTCAGCATTATCAATGCACTAGAGAGATGAACTTATGAAGGACCCCGGGCAGCAAGAAAAGGAACTTAGCTTTCATTTGGAGGGCAGACAAAAGCCATTTAAAAATTTAAATTGGTGAACTAATATGCTCCAATTTATACCCTAAGAAGTACCTCTGGAAAAAAGCAGAGAATGATTTGAATTAGGGTAATCTTAGAAAAAAAAATCAATATCCGTTCAATGGTGCTGCTAAATCCTGAATTGTACCCCACATCTTTAAATGTATTGTTAAAAACATTTAGATCTGATACTATTGTCTTTACAAATCTGAAATCTAGATCATTTCAATAGAGTATAAAAATACATTTAAATAGAGTATAATGACACATATATTAAATCTATGCTAAAATACAAATCTATTCAACATTGGTAAGTCTGGATTAATAGAAAGCAAAAGTCTTGTGCTAATGTCCCATCGCCCCTTGTGTATCATTTGTGCGACTGAGACAATAGGCTGGAGAAAGTTTTTATTGCATGTGTGACTATGAGGTTTATCACAGGACAAATGATTGCTGAACAAATCTTTTCTCCTCCCAGGGAGTTATATGCTAATTAAAGGATCTAACTGAAGAGAGGTGCATTCTTTTAGAACCTACACAATTGAAAAACAGAGCTGATTTTAAAATTAGTTTTTTTTAATCTAAACCAGTTCAGAGACTTCCTGAACAAGTAAATTTGAGCATGAGATTATTTAACTAATAACAGGTAACTGTAACAATGGTAATCTCCATTTTTACATGATCAAACTAAAAAAGACAAAGAAGAACTAGCAATGCTTTGTTTGAAACAGAAACTACAGCTCATTATCAATGAAAAGATTATAGTCCCTATCAAAACGTTAAAAGTTGCTCAAAACGGTCCCTTCAAAAGTACAGATGAGAGCTGGCATTATTTAAATGGAAGGAATCAGATAAAATACTTAACTTTTAACTATTACCTTACTATTCCCCTGTCTCAATCCGTTTTCTGCTGTTATAATGAATACCTGAGGACAGATATGTTTCTTTATTGTTCTGGAGACTGGAAATTCAAGGTCAAGGGACCCACATATGGCAAGGGTCTCCATGCTGCATCATCCCCTGACACAAAATGGGAGAGCAAGAAAGCACATAAAGAGGTAGGGGGAAGGAAGCCAAACTCATCCTTTTTTTTTTTTGAGTTGGAGTCTCACTCTGTCGCCCAGACTGGAGTGCAGTGGCCACTCCCAGCCACTGCAGCCTCGACCAGCTGGGCCTCCGGCGATCCTTCCGCCTCAGCCTTCCAAGTAGCTGGAACTACAGGCGCGCCCTACCACCCCTGGCTAGTTTTTGATTTATTGTAGAGATGAATTCTCGCCAAGTTGCCCAGGCGGGTCTTGAACCCTCAGGCCCAGGCAATCCGCTCACCTCAGCCTCCCAAAGCGCGGGATTACAGGCTGAGCCACTGAGCCCGGCTCAAACTCATGCTCTTAATAGGAACCCATGATAACTAACTCTGTCCCACAATAACAGCTTACTCTATTCACCTCTTAAAGACCTCACTTCTCAACATTGTTGCATTGGGTATTCACTTTCCAACACATGGCTTGTATACCTTATCCTGAATTGTACCCCGCATCTTTAAATTAAAAAAAAAAAACTTTCCAACACATTAATTTTGGGGGACACACTAAAACCATAGCATCCCCAAGTGGGATGATGTCAAAGAAGGATTTTTCCATCAGCTGGAAAAATTTGCACAAAATGTGCTTCCATCCCAACAATGAAACCATTGACACACTTTTTATAGTTAATAGTGTCAAATATTTAATGTTCAGGTTATTCAATTTTCTTAATTTTATTCTTGAAACATTTCCTTGACCTTACATGCAAATTATATATTAGAATTATGTTTACTGATTGTAGTTTTAAGCACTTGGTTTCACTTAATATTTTGAAATATATTATTATATTTTATGTTGAAAATGTGTTATATGTTTAGCATCAGTAATTTTCTTTTATGAATCTTGAACATTTATTTTTCAAAAATAGATATTGAAATAGTTGTATCACTATGTAGTTCTGGTATTGCTTTAATTTTGTTTGTTTGGGTTTTTTTTTTTTTGAGACAGCATCTCACTCTGTCACCTGGGCTGAGATGCAGTGGAATGATCCCAGCTTCCCAGCTCTCCATGAACTCAACCTCCTGGGCTCAAGCGATCTTTCCACCTCAAACTCCTCGGTAACTAGGACAAAGAGCATACACAACCACTTCTGGTTAAATTTTTTTTATAGAGACAAGTTCTCGCTGTGTTTTCTAAGCTGGTCTTGAACCCCTGGGATCAAGCAATAGTCCAACCTTGGCCTCCCAACATGCTGGGATTACAGGTGTAAGCCACTGCTCCTGGCCTGTTATTGCTTTCTTTAGCAAAAAGACTGCTGTATTCATCCACTGATGATGGCAAACTGAATGTAAGTAAGGGTGATTAGGGAAAGAAAAAAATTAGATGAATTTCAAATAGAGGAATGAGGCAAGCAACAAGACTTGGCAATTTGGGGGATATAGTGTGTGTGAAAGAACAAAGTAAGAAAAAAAGATGCTTTGTCTTCTTGTATGAACTTCGAGTATATTATAATTATGACCATTCCCATTTATATAGAAAGGGACCATGAAAGAAAGTGAAGGAAAGCTGAGGCTGGGTGTGGTGGCTCACACTGGTAATCCCAGCACTTTGGGAGGCTGAGGCTGGGGATATAGCATGAGCTCAGGAGGGCAAGATGAGTCTGGACAACATAGAAAGAACCCATCTCAATAAAAAAGAAAAAGAAAAAAGAAAAGAGAAAGGAAATGAAGACAGGGATGGAAAACAGATAACAAGAAGCAAGAAGACAAATAGCAAATAGTATCATTTCAGGAAATAGCAAACAGCATCATTTCAGGAAATTTCAATTAGATGTTCAAATATTAATATCCTTTCCTCCCACCATTTCCGTCGTGTGTGTGCATGTGTGTGTGTTGGAAACTTTATATACACTAAATACATCATGATGAATTTGGACTTCCTCTGGAAGAGCAGAAGCTGGGTGGTATGTCAGAAGACTTAGACAATGAATGACAAACAGCCATGAGGCTCATCACAGGACTCTCTGCAGCTCCTTAAATCTTAGTTATCTTGAATCAGACTACAGCCAGTGTCACTACAGTTTATTATCATTAAGTGATGCAAAGAGTAGGAATAGTCTCTAACCTTACATCTAGGAATGCAGCCTATGTATGTGGAGGTCTGGATTACTCTGGCATTCCCATGATGACAACTTGAATGTATTTTCCCAGAAAGATGATTATCTGCAGTGGTTATTTCCATAATATTGTGGCGATATTCCTTGGGTACATTACAGGTCCAATTACATGGCAAAGAACCTAACTTTTATCTGGGATTTGGAATACATCTTCCCATTTTCAAAACAAATCTTAGAAAATAATTTAGGGAGCCTGACCACATTGTCTCAAGCCTATAATATCAGCACTTTGGGAGGCCGAAGTAGGAGGATTGCTTGAGCCTAGGAGTTTAAGACCAGCTTGGACAACATAGCAAAACCTCCTCTCTACAAAATAAAAATTAAAAAAATCAACCAGGCATGATGATGCATGCATGTCATCCCAGCTACTCAGGAGAACCTGAGCCCAGAAGGTTGAGACTGCAGTGAACTGTGATTGTGCCACTGCACTCCAGTCTGGGCAGGCAACAGAGTGAGACCTCAACTCAATGAAAAAAAAAAAAAAAAAAGTCCGGGCTCAGTGGCTCAGCCTGTAATCCCGTGCCTTTAGGAGGCTGAGGTGAGTGGATTGCCTGAGCCCGTGGGTTCGAGACCCGCCTGGGCAGGCGAGACCTCATCTCTACAATAAATCAAAAAAATTAGCCGGGCATGGTAGCGTGCGCCTGTAGTTCCAGCTACTTGGAAGGCTGAGGCAGAAGGATCACCGGAGCCCAGCAGGTCAAGGCTGCAGTGGCCAGGAGCGGCCACTGCACTCCAGTCTGGGCAACAGTGAGACTCCAACTCAAGAAAAAAAAAAAAGAAGAAGAAGAAAATTAAAGAAAAAGAAAATAATTTAAGGACATAACTACTCAGAAACTACTTATATACATTTTACATTAGTAAAGGCTAAGTTTGAAAATTGTGTTAAGGTGGGTATGTCAGTTCTAAGAGCAGTCAAGTAGATCACCAAGCTACTCCAATTTATGTTAAGGAGACTATATCAAAATTGCTTATTTTTAGCTTGTCAGTACTTCAATTTCTGTTCCTCTCCTTTTTTTTGCTCCCCCTTATTTGCTGCAAATTTAGAAATTCATGTTATACTTAATATGAAAAGAGTATTTTATATAGCCCTTTTCCTTTCTGTACCAAGTTTAGTAATTCTAAGGAGAGGGCTTAAAGTTTTAATCCTCTAATTGTCAATAAGGCTAAGAGCATTAAGAGGCTTACTGAAGAGTTGAGTTGTGCTGTAATTTTGTTTTCTGGGATTTGAATTGAGAAGAACCACTAAAAAAAAAAAGCCAATGTTTGACAGTGGTCAAATGGTTGTTTTGATACGCAAGTGGAACTTTATATCTTGGCATTGATTTAGTTTTCCCATGTTTAAAATACACACAAGGTTGGAGACTTCTAGAGTTTTAAAGCTGTTTGAACTGTCAAATAAAAGTGATTTCTAAAGTATTAGGACATCTCGAGGTCCTACTGTGGATAAGGACTGTAGGTGTTTTCTTTCTAATTTTATTTCAGAAATCTCTACCACAGGACCTCTTGGCATGGGAAGTACGACCACTAGTACCACTCTTCGGACCACAACTTGGAGCCCGGGACGGAGTACCACCCCATCAGTGTCAGGAAGAAAAAACCGGAGTACCAGCACACCATCTCCAGCTGTCGAGGTGCTTGATGACATGACCACACACCTTCCATCAGCATCATCCCAAATTCCAGCTCTAGAAGAGAGCTGTGAGGCTGTGGAAGCCCGAGAAATCATGTGGTTCAAGACTCGCCAAGGACAGATAGCAAAGCAGCCATGCCCTGCAGGAACTATTGGTAAGTCAGTCGTAAAGCACTAAGCTAAAGATATTTTGTTATTTTGGCTTGATTTTCTATTGTTCTGTTCTTTTCTTATGACTACATGCTTTGTTACTTCATATTTAATGGAATTCTGAACTTAACTAAATTACTTTTTTCCCCTCCTTTTTCTTTTTCTTTTTGTTTTTTGAGTCAGAGTCTCACTCTGTCAGCCAGACTAGAACTATCATGGCTCACCATAACCTCAACCTCCTGGGTTCAGGGGAATCTTCCACCTCAGCCTCCCGAGTAGCTAAGACTACAGACGTGCACCACCACATCTGGCTAATTTTGTTATTTTTTTTGACAAGGTCTTGCTATGTTGCCTGGGCTTATCTCAAACTCCTAGGCTCAAGCAGTCCTCCTGCCTCGAACTTCCAAAGTGCTGTGATTACAGGTGTGAATCATCTCACCTGTCCTAACATCCAGTTTCAAGCTATGTATTTCCCAGAGTCAGACAATAAAACTTAAACAAATAACATAAGTGACAGGTGACATGTGAGATCAGTTGTTTGCACCCATCATGTCAGGTCTCTGGTTCAAATTCCAGTTAGGCTGTAGAAGTTCTGACTACTCCAGAAACTCAGCTTTTTTAATGCAACAGCCCAGACTAAATCACTTGATTGCTGGGAGTGAGTCTTATGCTTGTCATCAGTTGTCAGATAGTGATTGCAGAAAATGACATGAGGACTTCTGTATGTGTAGAACATCAAAATCACCTAAAATTTAGCAAGAGGGAAAGTTTGACTATCCTTTTCACCAGTCATGGTAGTTCTCTTCTAGTGGTCAAAGGTTTTTACCACTGTCAGGGAACTTTGTGCTGGGGTCATTCTGGCCCTCACATCTGAGTCCACCATAGAGAACAATTGTTTTCTCTGAGGGATAGCTTAGCACTATCTCTTTTCCCATTTTATTACTGACATGATTCATAATAACTTCAAATGATGACCGTGTTATTATTTACCATTTTTAAGACAGGAGTATTCTGATTTTCTTATTACATTCACTGATATTCATAAACTAACAACTGACACACTGAAAGACATTTGCATTATTCTCTAAAATATATACATAAAATATATACATCACTCTACTTGCATTCTTGGGGATTTTGTCTTTGGGTATACTGATTTGATTACTTTAAGAAATTTGGTTACTTTTTATATAAAGTTCTAATGTGGACAGACATACAAATTCCATGCTGTATGAAGTAGTGGAAAGACCAGGGGATATCTTGGTATTTATCAACATGAAGTATATTTATTTTTATCAGCAAAGTGTTTAAAAATATTCAGAAATTTCCTATTTCTTTATGAAAATGAAGAAAAATATTTAATGCTAAAGTTTTCTGACCAGGCGTGATAGCTCACACTTGTAATCATAGCCCTTTGGGCGTCCAAGGAGAGAACATTGCTTGAACCCAGGAGTTCACACTGACCTGGGCAACATAGTGAGACCTCATCTCTACTAAAAAAAATTTAAAAATTATCTGAATATGGTGGCGCTTGCCTGCTGTCTCAGCTACTCAGGAGGATGAGGCGGAAGAATCACTTGAGCCCATATGATTGAGGCTGTGGTGAGACTATATAGTGCCACTACATTCCAGCCTGGGTATCAGCCTAAGAACCCAACTCAAAAAAGAAGATGTTTTTCCGTGACTTTGGAATTGGAAAACATTTTGGAAAATCCTTATTTTTTAGCTCTGACCTCTTAGTTCCGGGACTCAGTTTTTTGTTGTTTGTTTTTCTCTGAAAGAGAAATAATAAAGGCCCCCTTACTTCAGAACTTTGTTGTGAAATTCTTTATTTGAAAGTACTTGCAATATAGAAATACATCACTATTGTTCTGTAGAAATTGTGAAAGAGACTAAAGGAAACTTTTGGAAGCCCTAACAGCAGACTCGCAATAAGCCTCAATCTTTTTTTGACCCGTCTCTGCCCATTCTGTTATACCTCTTTCTGGAACACCCATATTCTCTCACTTGGATTATTGAGATAGCTTCCCCACAACCTCCACGCCACTCCCTCAAATTCTTCCTCCATGCTGCTGCCAGAGGTATCTTTCGAAAACCAAATGTGCTCTTTTGTTTCCTTCTGCTTAATGTTCTCCATTGTTTTGCAAGCACTCACCAATGATAGAAAAGGGAGTTAGGATCTGATTTTGTCTACCTTTTTAACTCCATTAAATACAACCCCCTCCCCCCATCCAGGAGACTCCACTTCAAAAATCTGGAAGTTTCCCAAAGACAGCATATTTTTCCTCCACCTGGAAATGTCCTTCCTACCTTTTTTCCTGGAAAACCTGAACACTAATACCTTTAGGACTCAGTGGCTATCTTGCCTCTGCAAACTCAAGAAAAAAGTTTCATGGACATGGGTAGCACATCGACCTAATTTATGAAAGTATTCCCCATAGCTAAGGTGGCTGCTGAAAGTGCTTCAAAATTATTGTATTTTTGCTGTTGTTGTTGTTGTTGTTGTACTACATTTTTCCAATGTCAGTTGCCTATCAGACACTGTATCTGGTGTTTTAAGATACAGCATGTCAGTTTAATTATCTCATATTTACATTTGTTTATATTTAAGCATAGAATGAATGTGAAGTCATGCTAAGAAAAAGAAAAACTCATATCTCTTTCATTATTACAGGTGTGTCAACTTATCTATGCCTTGCTCCTGATGGAATCTGGGATCCTCAAGGACCAGATCTCAGTAACTGTTCTTCTCCTTGGGTCAATCATATAACACAGAAGGTAAACTTGTGACTGATGAGAAAGTCTTTGCTAAAACCATATCCTCTGTTGATGATTATCACTGCTAAAAACAAAACAGCCAAGAGTTTTTAAAAAATTAATGTCAAAAATTCTCTCATTTTAATTTAATTTCAGATTTAATGATAACCTCTAATATGCTATGAGCTAATTCTAGAATTTTATTGTATTTAAAGTACAAACCCATGAACTTCCTCTAAGCCAGGCAGTATTGCTTATAATAATTTTATTATTAATAAAATTTCTATGGTATCATGAGCTACAGATATAAAAGTCCAAGAGGCCTTGTAAATCAAGCAAGCAAAAGCTTCTAGCATTAATACATATGGGTTTTCTGTGGAAATAATAATTACAATAAAAGAAGTCTACCTTTGGAATCTTAAGTCATTTGATAAATGTTCTATAACCTAATTATTTATCAATGCTAAAAGTATACACATGTGTGACAGAATCTTGCAGACTCAAATTTGCAGAGCTTATTTGGTTGCAATATGTTGAACATTTTTATTATTAATGCACTGTGGGACTTTGAATTGATTTCATTACAAACAGAGACCAGATGTGCATTTATGCCAAAAGGGTTATGGGATGAATCCTTATTACAGCAATTTATGTGGATTTATGCACTCCTAAAATGGAGAGTCCTTCTATGGCACATTAGCTGTGCTGAGGAATTTCTGAGAGAGATTTTTCCAGAGAAATATTACTAATGATGGCCTTCCTAAAAACCTGTCTATGCCATTTGCTCTTTTCTCTATTTGTTTTTAACCAGACTTATCCTCAATAATATACTGTATAATAATCCATAAATATCTACCCAGTAGATCGTTTAGCAGATGAGCCATAACTATCTATTTACCCTAAATCATGGAAGAATAGTAGTTATATTGACTCTCGTTACCCTCTTACATATGCATCCCCATACTTGTTGCTATTCATAATGATGCTTCTCCAATTTCAGTACTGTTCCTGCCACAGTTTTTATGTCCTTTGATTTTATTACTGTGTAGCTCAGACCCCAGGGCAAATAACTCTTGCTGAATGTGATCAGATTAAGAGATCAGTAGCATATCTTCTTATATTAGCAATTCGTTAAAAATAGTCCCTGGCTACTTAGCCCAGGGGTTAATATAAATTCAATAATAATTCTTTTAAAAGCTGAATGTCTTCATGATAATTCCTAAATATAGTTAGACTATTTTACTGCAGAAATTACTGTGTGACTTTAACTGATAATGATGCTTAATTCTTTTCTTTTCTGCTAATCTTAGGACAAAAGAGATAATTCCTTTCAAAGACCAGACAGCTGTGGCCCTTTTGATTTGTGGACAGGATGTATTTGTTTCAAAATAAATACATCCTATTCTTCCAGAACATTTATGTGTAATCCTGTAGAGCTTAGAAAATGATGCTGTATTATAATTACATTAAGTTAAAGAATTTAGGTGATTGTAATTTATAAAATATCTTAAATTGATTACTCATAAATTTATAAAATCTTCAAAAGGACAAGAGGTTTTTGAGCACTCTGAATCAATTTATGCAAGTAGCCCAAGGCCGGTGATGGAGCCAGTGTTTTAGCTGACACTACCTTCATCAAGACATCCTGTTAAAAAAAAAAAAGAATCATGTTTAGTCTCTACACAAGTGTGTTTAGATTATGATTGCCTTCATAGCCCTACACTCACTTACCTAGGCTGTCTCTTTTCACTTTGCCCACTCTTTATCTGGTTGTATCCCTTATGCCTCCAAATATTTACTCTACTCATTGAATACAAATGGTGATTGAACAGGTTTATTTACTACAAATTCCCAACACTTTTAAACATTAGCATTGTAAACCTCCAAAAGAGAATCTGTTGCAGAGTTCAATGTGTCCATATTTTCTCTCCTTTCTCCTCAAAGCATCTTCTAGACAATTCATCCCTTTCTTTATCTCCTTCCTCAGTACCAGAGTCCCAACAATATACAGACAAAACATTTGAGGAGGTTTTGTTTGCAATGGTATTGGGCCAGCAATGACAAACTGCAAGTGATTGAGCAGGAACTCAGAGCTAGTAGCAGAGAGGAGCTGTTCCCAGTTCCAGACCTGTAGGATACCAGGTCAAAGGAGTAATCAAAGACTGGAGCCAAGTGTCCTTTAGAGGAAAGATGACCTGTAGACAAGGGACATAGCATAGTCCCAGGTGACCTTTCACCAAAGAAAAATAAATACCATGACCTAAATTGTCCTCCTTCCATTCACCTTTCCAGTCACCTCATTGGCCAAATTCAACTGGAAGCCAGACGAGAAGGGCACTTTTAATGACTTCCATTAATTTTACCTCCTAGGGCAGAAAGCAGGGTGGGCAGGTAAAAAGTGGCCCTAAATTAGCAAATAGAAAGTACCCAGCATGGTCCTCAGCTTTTTTCTACTCCCTTCTCTCACCTCTCTTCTCTTTCCCATATTTCTGTACTCCTTTCACCCTCCTGCCTTGCCTTTCCTATTTTTATTCTGTCTCATCTGCTCTGACCTCCTACCTGCCACTTTAACTGACTCTTTTTATCATGTTGAAAAATTGAAGTAAAATAGATACCTTTAATTATACATTCCTTTTTCCTCCCTAGCATGTTTGTGTAAACTTCAAACTTTTAAAGAAAAGGAGTACTTTTTAATCCCCAATGAAAGCATAAGTTAAAAAAAATGCCCTCCCCCCAAAAAAAGATTTATTAAAACATGCTGTTTTTTTTCTGTCCCAAGAGTTTTGTGAATGAATGTACCCTGAAAGGTAAGGCACTTCTGTCATAGTTTGTTCAGGCCACTATAATAAAATACCATAGTCTGGATGGCTTATAAACAACAAAAGTTTATTTTCCACCATTCTGGAGGCTGGGAATTTCAAGATCAAGGAACTGCAAATCTTGTGTCTGTTAAAGGCCCACTTTCTGGTTCAAATGGCAACACCTTCTCACTGAGTCTTCACCTGAAAAAAAGGGGTAGCTCTCTGATACCTGTTTCATAAAGGCTTTAATATACATTAAGGCTCTGCCCTCATGACTTAATCACCTCTCAAAGGTCTCACTTTATAATATTATCACATTAGGTGGGAATTAGTTTTCAGCATATGAATTTTAGAAAGACACACTCATTCAGACCTATCAGCCTCCTCCTCGTTTTTACAGTGCCTCTGGGGAAATTCCTGGGGCTTTTAAGGAAAGAGCACTGACCTGAGTGTCTTTATAGTTATGTTATGGTGGATAAGTTATTAACTCTTGAATCATATTTTCCCATCTATAAAACAGAATCACTCATTAATTTTATTATCAGTAATATTTGCTCACAGTGTGTTGCCACAATTGTAGAATGCAACTGTATACAAGCAAATGAATCAGCATGCTTACTTTAGTTGGAAAAAGAAAATTTTATATTTACACATTCTTTAGAAAATGAATTATGCTCCCTTTCCCCCCAAGAGTCAGGCCATGAGAGAGAAAAAAGGCAAAGAATCTTGATAGTTTTGACTCACATATAAATATGAACCACTTAAATACTGGTGAAGTTAAAGATCAAAATCTGTTTAACAATAAAGAGTGGATTACTTTTCACCAAAGGAAATGTAAACTGATATCATGAAAGGATTTGTTGCAGAAAAACTTGCTTGGGTACATTCATAATGATGAGATTCAATAAAAAGTATAATTTGTACAGAAAGAGAAAATAGAAAAGCATAAGTTGTATAGAAAGGGACATTTGCCCCAACAATGAGATAAAAAGAGGGAGAGGAGGAAGAGGGAGAGGGAGAGGGAGAGGGGAAGGGAGAGGAAGAGGGTAAGGGGTCAGTAGGTAAGTGGGTGGAAGACTTGATGAATGTAGATGGATGGGTGGATGGATGGATGGATGGATGGATGGATGGATGGATGGATGGATGGATGAGTGGATGGAAGGATGGAACAGTAAGTAGAATGGTAAATGAATAGATGAGGGATAGATAGATAGATATAGATATAGATAGATAATCTTCAAATTAATGTTAAAAAAAGTAGTTTGAAGTTTTTACTGAAAGTCAACAAGTTAGCTCAGAGCTATACATCCTGAAACATGTGGCAAAATATCTTATTTTCTTACCTTTCTTAATGATTCATAAAATCATAGTCTCAAGGCTTCAGCTTAATCTGTAGCTTGCACTCAAGTTTTCAAAAATGAGTTTTTATTTTCTATTTTGCATAACTTTAAAGAATAATTGCACTTTATAATCTCTCCAGTCTTTTTTTCATTTACAATTTGGTGATATTGCATTTCTGAATAGCTTCCTTATTATTTACATGCAAAGTGAGGTCAGCTTCCTACTCCATTGCCTGGTCTAACTATTATGTGACAAAGAATTGCCTGAATTGTCGCAGAGAATAGTCTCTTCCTATTTTTAATAATCTGAGTGCCAGCTGGGCTCGGTGGCTCAGCCTGTAATCCCGCGCCTTTGGGAGGCTGAGGTGAGTGGATTGCGTGAGCCCGCGGGTTCGAGACCTGCCCGGGCAGCCAGACCTCATCTCTACAATAAATCAAAAAAATCAGCCGGGTGTGGTGGCGCGTGCCTGTAGTTCCAGCTACTTGGAAGGCTGAGGCGGAAGGATCGCCGGAGCCCAGTGGGTCGAGGCTGCGGTGGCCAGGAGCGGCTGTTGCACTTCAGTCTGGGCGACAGAGTGAGACTCCAACTCAAAAAATAAAATAAAATAAAATAATCTGAGTGCCTTTTCTTTTGTTTGTACACAAGCTACTGACAGATTTTGAGATAATGCAAGGTTATTGTTGTGCTTTCTAAAGAAGAAGAATGGGAAACTCTAGAAATGATGTTGCCAGTTATGATATAAAATAAGCCAGTTATTTACCCTGGGAGACTGGTTGAATTCTGTCTCCTATATCTTAATTTCCCCATTTTAACTTTTTAAAACTTAGCATGGAATGAAAGCATGGAATGTTTCTTTATTTTGTCAGGGATTGTGGGGGC